TTGAATAAAAAATGACATAGCTTCACAGAAGGTATTAAGGACAGTTTTTGTTTCCCGCCTTTCTGCCTCTTTTGCATACCAGATTTCCTATAATTATATAGCTAGAATGTGGTGTTTTAAACACATTAGCGCGACGGATAAGTCACTGTATTAAACAACAAAATCTCTCATTTAAAGTACTGTACCAGCATCCCTATGTCTAGCCCCAGTCAGTGAAGTAATATAGTTAATTGATATAGTTGCAATAGTTGTAGTTATTTCAACCAAGTGGGACTCTTCCGGTCAAGGTACTAACTAGGAGATCCAAGCAGAGACAAGCTTGGCATGTGCCTCGAAAAACGCTATTGAAAGATTATTTGATTTCTCAAAAGTTAAAAAATACCCTGAGATATGATTTTGTAAGCCATACCAGCTATGCTGCTTTGCAAGATAAGTATTTTAAAAGATTATGTCAAATGATGTATTAAAAGACAGTTGTGAACCCAAGGCAGTGTATATAAAATAAGAAATTATCAGATGTAGCACACGGTCTAGTTAATCCACAGTTTTGCACCAAACTAGTGTATACAGCCAACAGATTACGACCCCAAATAGCAAATTGTATTAGGTGTCAACTGATCTGTGGGAAATTCTGTACCTTGGTACAGACTCTATTAAATTATACATTAATGTACACATTAAATATATATATTTTTTAAAATCTCATATACATTCAACTTATCACTAAATAGCACTTAGTCGAAAACTAACATTGTCTAAAATTATTGTTTGACGAATAATACTAATAACACGTTTGTTACTAACAGGAGGTAAATTCTGTGTATACAAATAACATGTTTCATATTTCGTATTAAATACTTAAATTGATAATTATACATCTCATATCACATTTCTTATACTCTATATACAATGAATTAAACCAGTATTGCTAAATGTGGCAACGTTTAATTATCATAGAGGGAATTAATAATCAAATACTCCCTATAATTATGGTATCAAATGCTTTATTAATACGTTGGTACAGTTTTTGAGTACCGTTCGTGAGACTTAACCTTTAATACCAGCGAGGGTGGTATCGCAGATACGGTTTGAATACTAATGGTCTACCTGACATAACGCAGCAGATTTCCAGAGATTCGTAACCAGGCAGTCCTTTCACGGTATCTTTCGCTTTTTTAAAACTACAATGTCCGTAGCAACCAAACGCCCAAGAAAGCATACAGTGAGTAGCTTTGACTACTTGATACCACACTCTTTTTCATATGAATAACCTTATTTCGACCACTAACACCACAAGCCCCGTCTACTCAGTCGCACAATGCGCGGAAACTACAATATCCTTCTAAGTACATGTAGTAGTTTGAATCGGAGCAGAACTGTAGGACGTTAAACCCCATTTCACTTCATTTGAATAGTTTGGTTTATAGAACCCTACCAACTTCTAGTAGCTTGAGTATACTATCGTCGCTTGGCTTATTCTAACCACATTCAACCCTAATCGGGATGCTTCGGAAACTACAACCACTTCCTTATTCGAAGCTTTGGCTAATTTTATGCCCGGTTATCTTTACATATACGTTTATTTTGTGGAAGTGCCGGGAGATATCATGATTTACCATCCACAGAAATTACAGTAGCATAGACTGTTAAAAGTGGGCGAATTATTTTTCAGTACCTATCAATTGAGTCTTTTCATCAAAAAAATGTCTTGATGTTTGACAAATCTTTCAAGGTATAACGTCATTCCACTGGATCTGGAGGCCATATTCCACCCAGGCTATATTAGAGACAACCCTACATTAGAGGCAACCTACTTTTCCAAACGGTGACTGCATACATTGAATGAGATGCATTGGATGAGATACATTAAGATAGGTTACCGAAGTATCGTCGATAGCCCGCCATCTTCCACGACCTACTACTTCTATAGTACAACCCTAACAAATCAAGCTGCACAGCTACTAGACCCTTCCGTCATTCACCAATTGAAATGTAATGGTAAGTTGGGACTAAGCGTGTCGTCACCAATCGACATAGAGTTAAATTGATTTTTAGTACTATAAGATTACATGTAATATTGCCTGACATAATAATATATAACATATTAAATAATGAAATCCTATATAGGTCAGTATTCTATAAGCTGTTTAACATGAATGAATGTCTTTGTATACAAATATGAATCACTAGTGTCGATTTATAAGCTCAGTCACAATTATAAAGATGCTCACTGAATATATATTATGTATAGTATGTGGTTCTAAGTTTATCTAATCTTATCACCATCAACAAAAACTTTTAGTGTTATTAACTAACTTGTTGAGAACCAGGATTGAGCAATCCATAGTTTTGCAGTTAAGGGCTAACCGCCTCGTGTTAGACCATGGATCCTTTAATACAGGATCGACCGTTTTTCATAGATATGGTTTCGAATCCGTATCTTCTATTTATTTTTTCGACTATAATGTATTACTCCAAGATGGCACAGTTCTATACAAAACATTGTGTAGGCCCACATAAAGGGGGAAGATTCAGACGCAGAGCTGTCAAACACGCCCTAACGTCACGTGTTTATATTGTATGTAGAATCAAACACGCCCCCCCCCCACTATTTCTCGGAAACCGCATATGGAAATCTTTCTTCGTAATGCACAGTAGGATGTCTAAACGACAACTAAAGCATAAATTCTTACTTGTACTCCCCTTTAAAGGTACGTTTGTTATGAACAGGAACTTGTATAGTATTCTATCCATATTAGCATGTACATAATACATGTATGTGCTCAACGTATCGTAAAATGGACGTAAATAAAAAGCACTTAATGATCTCGTATCTATTGGGCCAGAACAATGCGTCTTTTGAAGGGGGGTTGGTTGAAAACAATGGAATTTATCACTTTCTCTGTACCACTGTCAAATACATCTTGACACTATACACAATTCATTTTTTGTTTTCCTATTATTATCTCTTGAGTTCACTTCATTAGTATATTGAGCCTTTAAAAATATGTGCGTGCTCATTGGTATTGTTTCAAACAAGCTGAACAGGTCAACGTTACAATTCAAAGAAATTCATTGGTAGAAAAATCAATGTCGCATTGTTCGATCTGAAGATGGTTAAAGCATACGCCCGTCTTGCTTACCACCGTGATATAAATGATATATACCAAGATCGTTGAGAAATAGTTTGAGAGATTAACATGATCAAAGAGCACGGTTTGTTTGTAGTTATGATGTGTTGTAAGTGTCGTTTTCCTCATCATTTAATGTTGAAATGATGTCGATAGAGCTGCCATCAATATGCGGTAATCGTGAAATAATAGTGATTAAGTGGAAACCTCTCGAGTTTTAGTTAAATATAAATATTATGTCCGTGTTGTCTTTGTTTTTATAACTAAAATAATGTCTACACAGGAGTGGCGACATTCATTTAAGCGTACACTGGTTTAATTATTATTTTTAAGATTATTATTGAAAATCAATTTAGATGAAATAAAGTGTGATTATTTAGTTACTCTGTGGAAGCTACGGGTGTAGATTGAATGATATATAAGTTACATATGCTCGATTTGTAGAAACTATTCACTTTAAATACAAACCAATTTCAATACAAAATGAAATTCATAATATTTTTGGGATTGCAATCAAGAAAAAATAAGCCGGTATTTTTAATTTTAAGTTCACCTTTATCGTATAGTTTAACTATTAAATTTTGCGTCACCTTGTTCTGAGAACACACAAGAACTCTTAAGCATCTGTGACCATTTAAGAGAGTCAAAAACTTTCATTAAGTGTATAATTTATTCGTCCAACTTATTTTGCTTTTTAATATCAATTCATAGAGTTGCTCGTACACCACTGTATAACTGTATAATTCCCAATAACTGATAGTGGTTCACATACATACATTTGAAAAGAACAAAACATATGGCACTAGAGTCATTGATTTCCCATTACTGGATCACCTTAATCTGTCAGTTAGAAATATTCAAGATCTATACATATTAAACTCATTCTGTTTGCCTATTGTATTTTTTATTAAAATATTAAACACGCGACAATAGAGATTATAGATATTTTAACTATTAAGTCACATATGCATACTTCAAATAAAACCAAAAAAGGTCTCCATTTAAAGCAGGGAGCAGCTATCACAGAAACCAATTGAAGTTAAGATGATAAATTACTCCTGGCAAATATTTAGTAAAGTAAAAATAAATTTTTAAAGGATCGTTTATGAAATATAAACCAATTTATTTCGCATAATTGATTTCTGTGCTTGTGCTTTTTGTTAGTTTGAGTGACACTATTATTTGTTGAGTTCTATATGAATTTCTTACTCATATTCACGTTTAATTTGAATATTTAAATGAGGAACAGTTTGAAATGATTAAGTATGTTATAAATATATTAAGAACTGTTAATGTATAATATCCAAAACAATCCATTCCTTAAGGTTAGCATTTGTAATTCGGATGCAATGTAACAAAATCTAGAAAGGGGAATAACGAAAAGTAAAAAATAAAATTGGCAAGATAGACAGCCCCCCCCCCCTCTCCTCTAATTATTTAATTAAATCAATCTGTAAACTAGGTGATTTGGAAACTGTTTTCCTTAATCGATCAAAAATATCTTCTCGATCCGAGACATTCTCCCTAGAGTGCCCACTAAACTAGGTTCCAAATAGATATGTAACTGATAATCCACTTTCAAAGCTAATGTAATTTCACACAGATGTGGATTAATTTATGCTTATTTCTATTTGAACATTATTTTATTTTAATATATATGCCGTGCAATCTGACTTGACATGTATATCTCGATCGGGTTAGAAAGGTAACTGAATAACGTGACCAGTCTGCGCAATTTGAGCATTTAGTTACTTTATATCAATCGAGTCAGAAACGTAACTGACTAACGTGAAACGTAGTACATGGCAGCTTGATCTGTGAAGAATTTTGATCCAAGCTAAGGAAAAGAATTAATATGGAAATACATGTATGTAAATTTTTATTATTCGTAATTTAAAAAAAAAGCGATAATTTGATAAAATAACTTAAAACACTTTAAGACAAAAACACATATGGTAATATTTATACTTATATTGGTGAAATAGAGTCTCCATATAAAAAGAATGTCTTCTTAATAAAGTTCGTGAAAAAGAATCCACAAAATATACCCACTTAATATAGTGCGTATTAAAATTATATTACACCAGTCACTTGCAGTGCAAAATTGTTCACGTTAAATAAAGTTGTAAGGATTTTAAGAGTTCAACAAAGCCATAGTTTCGTATTAAAAATCCTTGCAAATCTTTCAGTAATAACACACCGATATATCAAGTCATTGTATTTACTCTCCTTTTAATTAAGCACTGATTTTTAAAATCTGAAATAAATTAAAGTATATAATATACTGTCACAGTTGGGCCATTATAAAAGTAAACAAAAACAAGACCTTCAGTTTCTTGGTTCACTAAATATAGAAGATCCGGTCGTGGCCGGAAGTGAATTCACGTGCTGTTGAAGTCCGTGGATAAACATCCGGGGCAAAAGAGGTCGCTGGACCTGCGCAAACGAGTTTTCGCCATTGCGGAGGTAGAAAGCGTCCACATTGGATAGAATACTTGCAGCTTGAGGGTGATAATTGAACCAGTATGGGTTTTGCTGAAGCATGCGTTGTACAGCTGCATAATTTCCCGCCTCTGCTAACAATTCTAAACCAACAGCCGTCTGTCTCTTCCATTTGGTTCTGAAACAATAAGAAAGAGACTTTTAAAAAACATAGTTTTCGTGACTAAAATGAATAATATTATTAACCTTTTTTAATGATAAAAAATAGACATGTAAAAATATAATAATACATATTATATTAGGGAAATCAAACATCTAGCATTGAAATCTGCTAAAGAACTTTCGTTTCATTAATGATTCAGGCTTCAATATCATATACAAATTATTACAAAACCACAAATTGTCCATAAAACACCTCCATCATGGTTGCTTTTGAATGACAAAAAAAACCCACCTTCTATTTTGATACCAAGTCTTAACTTGGGTGTCTGTCAGGTTTAATTTTGCCGCCAATTCCATTCGATCTTGAACACTCAGATATTTCTGTCTTTCAAATGTCTTTTCCAGAGAACTGAGCTGATGATCTGTAAATGCTGTTCTTGCCTTTCTGGGTTTTTTACCCTTGAGTAGCAATGGGGTATCACCATCCCCTCTCATCTTGCCATCCTCGTCATCACTTTGATCTGTAAGGAGAAAACAAATGAAAACTTTTAATAACATAAGTAAACTAAGTTTTAATCACATTTGAAGATATAATATTTACAGATATGGTACCATACTTTCATTTATATGCAGATTATAATATAGGCTAAATTGTCATATTCACGAACAGTTTTAATCACCTTTGAAATTATTGTATTTACAGATACCCTACTTTAGCTTATATTCATGTTAACACAGGCTACTGGTCTGTACCATATTCTTTGTATTGATTTTGTGAAACACAAACACATTTTATTACTTATTCTAAATAAAATAATACAGATACATTTAAGTTTTCACAAACATATAATATTTGTAAAAATCGTTTATTGAAAATCAATAAATGTTTATATAAAGTTCAAAGAAACAATTTTTTCTAAATATGGTTTTCCTCATAAACTGAACAGCATTATTTGGATACTTAAGCGCATTTTTAAAATTACATAAAATAGTGAAAAAGGATTATTATTTCAGTCCGTTTGTTTGTTGATTTATTTTTAAACTATCTATTTCAAATCGAATTATTTCGAAGGGTAAATAAATAATTTTCAATAAGTTAAGCACTACTAGAATTGTTATTTAAAATAATAAATAACATATAATATAATAAGATAATACCCCCCCCCCCACCAAATGGTTTAGATAAAAGAACCCACCAAAAAACTACAGATAAATGATGCATTGCTTAATTACAATTTATACAACAATATTCTATAATGTATTAACGTTGTTTTAAAATATCGATTTTAATAAATTTCCTTTTCAATAAGAAGAATTAACATGAAAAAAGTAAAACGGGTTCATTCTCCGTTTAGTAATGAAAGGTGAAAGCATGACTTATCCTATTAGTGTGATATTCGTTCATTTTGTTATTGTCTTAAACTCATAAAAATAGTGAACATGTGTTTTCGCTCCGGGGCAGACGAACGGAACAGAAAATTAACAAATGGTTGAGATGACTTCATTAGATACTAGCTCAACTGGCGACATAATTGCAGCGGAATTACTTCAATTTGATGCTCTTTTATAGCTAATTAAATGCTTTTGTTATAATTTCTGTTGACTTTCTGATTCTAATTGTAGATTTTATCAGTATTTTGTATTCATTATAGTTGACAGATAATATCCCCCTATTACCATAGATTTTTTGTTCTAAATCTAATTAATAAACAAAAGGTGAACAAAAAATGGAGAATTTAATTTTTCATGAATTTCTTATTAGACTGATGGATAATCAGATAAATTTGATTGGTGACATGAATATATGAATTAATCCGGCTGTAATATTGAATTCCTAAAATAATATATTTTTTGATATGTATTTAAAAATAAATTATTCATATCTAATAACCCCAGTGTGCCTCTATTTCCTTATATTTCATTGCAATGATTTACGTGCTTATGATTTATATAATTTTCAATTTTTCTTTAATGACGTCTATAATATAACTATTTAATTTTAACTATCTTTATCCTTTCAAATCAGTCAGAGGTGTGGCTCGAAAACCTATTTATTTACGTCCTATTTTATGTTTCATAGCGTAAAAAAATTAAAATGTTACTAAAGGGGTATACTTTAATTGGGAAAAATAAATGATCTCCGGTTTTAGTGAAATATATAACATAACCATTCGTATTATAGTTCTCAAACTATTTGGGAAGGAATGAGTCGGGGTACGTTTTTGGAATACCCCTGAGATGAATGATGTCCTTCCAGATTGACCTTATATCTTTTTTTGTTATATTTGGCCTACACTGCATGGTCCACTACACTCGTCATCTCTAACAACTAAGCGGATACATATAAAAGAATCAGAATTCGAAACAAAGAAGAACGATCTTGAGGTACTTTTACAATAGTTAGTATCCATAACAGCGAATTTGTAAAATAATAAGACAAAGGCAATTTCTACGTATTTGTATTGTACACAAAAATGTCAGATTACATCTTCTAATATAGTACGAAATATATGTGTATTATGAAAATATTAAAATCGTTATCCGTTTCTATGTTAGTGTAACAAAAGTATGTTTGTATTATACAGAATAAGTCCTTTATTTTACATTTTATACGAACGTGTTTTACATATTCAATATTTAGTATATTGATCAGTATAAAAACATGTACACCTCCATATTAAATCGGGACACGTTAACAGACAGTTAACGCAAGAATACTGTGGGTGGACCATTCAGAAAAGACAATAAAATACTAACTGAAAAATAATCTTTTTCAGAAAGATTAATTGTTCCAGTGAAGAAAATGAGAGCAAATATACAGATATACAGCATAGCAGTAACCGCCTTACAAAACACCAAAACATTACAAAAAATCCGAAACGTGAAACTACTACTACATGTACTACTACCTGGTGCTTTAACGTCTGCTTCCACAGACGTGATATCGCAGACAAATGTGAAACTAAGAAGCAAAGCTCTTTATAACGACAGATGAGGATATGACTATATAATTCATGAAGTTCCAAATTTAAATTGAATATCCACATGAATACTTGAATACGTTTTTTTTTCTCTCCATAAATCTATTAGTATACTACGCCATATGTCTTAAGTTATATTTTCGTTGCATGTTTAGGATATCTATAAAGACGGCATAGAAGATAAAATGTTTCAATTACTTCTAATTAATTAATTAAAACTAATTAAGATCGTCTTGAAATCGATTAAAAAATTAATAATGAATGCTTGTACTTGTATGTACTAAACATTTCTTAAAACACCAGTGGAAGCAATACTTTGCATTGAAAGGGAATACATATTATACAGTATTCTTTTGTTCCAGTGAAGAGAAATGCTAAATTAAAATGTTCTTTCATAACCTAAACTATTTTTAAAATTAATATGTTGTTTTACCTTGTTTATATTTATCTTAAAAAGAAAGTATCACATATTAATGCGTACAAGTTTTCCATTTAATGATGTTCATATATGTTTTAATACAAATTTACAATATATATGTACCGTTTAATACAAATTGACAATATACACGTGTACGTTTTAATACAAATTAAGGTAAAATATGCTGAGATATATTTTGTTAATCTAAACCGAATGTTTTTTAGAATTTCCGAATCTCTTGAATATCACTTTATCGTTATCAATCATACACTACAAGAAGAAGCAGACACCCAGAAAAATATTTCCTTTCCAATAGAGCTTTAGCATTAGATTTATCATGTAATTATCTTGTGATATTATGATCTACGTGGATTTAAGATTTAGCAATTTTATTATTTATAGGCCCGCTAATAATAAATTAGGCTCATTCATATGCTATTAAACTTCTCTTAATATCGTGTGTCTCGTTTTGTAGTTAGGGTGTACAATAAATAAATTGTCCGGATAAACACTTAAAGTAACATCCCGTAAAGATACAATGAAAACAGCGACGAAAAATGGTAGTTATTATATAAAGGCCATTTAGTTTTTCTGGTTCCATAGTTTTAGGTAATTATTCTTCTTGTAGGTTAATTAATTTCAGCACTAACAGAGAAAGGGATGCTAAAATGAAACAAACTAAGAAAATCGTCACTTTAACTTTAAGGCAAATGTGATGGGGCGTTCAAGGCCAATAATTTACCTTTTAGATGCTACAGATTTCAAATGATTTATCTTTCTATAATTGTATGCATTCTTACTATATCAGTAAACTTTGCACATTGAATAACCTCATAAATCATAATAAAGCATACATAATCACAGTATTTAAAAACGAATAAAATGTGATACAGCTATTAAAAGTGTTGAGTCTCATATTCCAAAGAATTACTATCAAACGCTGTAAAGTACTTAATGGTTACCAAATTAAGTGGCAGCCTCGTTATATATCCAAATATATATCTCGAAAATATTCAGCACAAAATAATAGTTATGAAGTAAGAGTATTAAAACTAAAGTTACGTGTTCTTTAGTAAGGCTATTTTAAAAACTGACTATTCATTTTATATGTTCCTGTAGGCAATATTTGGACACAAATATATGGAAAACTTTTGAAGAAGTACACCAAGAAATTCCCTTCGTCGCCTCATTTCCCCTTCCGTGATTGAGAGTATTGGGGCTGATTAACTTGTTGTAAAGTTTAATTACCATTATATTAAATGTATTTGTTTACATATTACTATATTGCAAATTATTTTATTTCCCCTTCCGTGATTGAGAGTATTGGGGCTGATTAACTTGTTGTAAAGTTTAATTACCATTATATTAAATGTATTTGTTTACATATTACTATATTGCAAATTATTTTATTTCCGATTTAAACCTTCACAACCGTCCTTATTTATTTCATTATTTTGAAAAAAATGTCTTTATCCTACCAATTTATTTTATTATATCACCAAGTGAAAATTATTATAACCTTTCGATGTTAAATTAAGTTTGTTAAAATATAGGTGTTCGTCAAGGTGGTTCCATATGTCTCCTTATTTCTATATTAATTCTCAAAATATCAAAATGAAATGCTGGAAACATAGTCTAATGAATCTCACTTCAGTCATATTAAAAAATGATATTTGATAAAAAGAAAATATATTGTCCAAAGTTGCCATTCTGGATATTATTTTTTGGGCTTAAAATAACCATACACTTTCGCTTTTCGTCAAACCCCCATTACTAGAAAATAGAATTTTAAAGAAACTAAAAATAATCGTTCAACTCACCTAAATCACTGCCATCTTTATCTGGTGAATTAAGGGCGAATCTTTCCCGTACAAACGCTGATCTGTCAGATATGTGGAGAGATCTAGGGGCTTTTGGGTAACTATCATGTCTTTCGTAATCACCGAAATGTGGTAATATTCGGCTTCTATTTGTATGTGTAGAACTAAGAATGTCTGTTATAAGAAAAGAAGGTTTTGGCCCTGGTCTAACACTTGCGATCGGTTTGCTTAAGTCTATAACTGGGCTATTTTCTCCTGATTTCACAGGTTTTGGTGACATGTCTCTCTCCGGAGGGGATTGTAATCTCTCCTTACACTCGTTTTCTCTTTCTAAAACTTTCTCGTTTCTTTCATCCTCGCTATCTGATGACGGTGTCGGTGAATTGTTTGCAGGAGATCGAGGTCGTTTTCGTTCAACTGTATCCATAGTTATTCAGATTTAGACCTCTTTATAAAGACTTCATAAAATACCGAATGACTTCAGTACATTACATGCAATTTTCCATTAAGATCCCACTTATTAATTTACACATACAAGTTAATCAGTCCTTTAATATGTAGCAGTATGTGGTCCGGATCTTCCTTGCTTCATCGACTTTCTCGTGGTTCTCGACTCCCGTTTTGTACCTTCATGCACCCCGACGTCTTTTGTTGCTAATGCACTTATGAAAGGGAACAGACCCCTATCACCACTTCTCGCTTCAAGGCCCTGGTGAGTTTTGGAATAGAGGTAACACTCGCCTGCTGTGTCCGTTCAATATAGATTACAAGTCGTTTTAAAAGCGACAAGCGGATTAAACGGTCAATTCGGGCAGAATGGCGAAGTTGACAGGTATGTCGTTCGCCTTTTGTACAGTCTACTCGTCTATGCTATGTCATGTGTTTTTAATAGTCGCGAAGTGGATGTGAAATCCATCTCCCCTTTACTCCTATGCGTGTATCGTGTATTCAGAAAGGTGTCAACAAGGCAAACAACCAATAAAATCGCCCTATTAAGTAAAGTGGGTGGGACGTGAATCAATAATGAGACAAAAGTGGTGAGTTGATTGGCTGGTTAATGTATTTGTTGGTGACATATTGTCAATAAATGTCGGTAATAACTATCATTTGATTTATTTATCAGGCTACAATGAATCGTTGATTTCTTCAAATTATTGCAATTAAGACAATAAAATTCGCCAACACTGTAATTTTACGCTATTACCGTAAGCGAGTTGCTACTTCTTTTTTAAAATATAGGATTTAACCAAAACCAATTTCTTTTGGGTAAATCGCTTCTCGTTGTAAAATGATTCTGTTACTTGAGCATATTCTAAATCACCAGCGTTTTTCACGATGAGAATGCCTTTACTGAGGCCAATTAAAATGAAATTTAGAAATTCCTTTATATTATAGTATTTATGTCATAAGGACAGTCGAAAATTTTTAAACTTTTCTTGTTAGTTCAATAGACCACATTCATAATGTTTTTAAATGTCGTAATAAAATTCCTGATTTGGGTTTTAAAACTGACACCATCGATCAATACACAAATATTAAAGTGTGAATTTAATAATAATAAAGTATTCTAGTTAAAAAATGAACTATTGCAGGCTTAAAATTTTACACTTCATTGAAGCGTCATTCATTTTAAATTTTAAAAATATTACTGTATTTCGTTTTCCGTCTTTTTAAAACCCAACTATATTCTAAACTATCCATCAATGGGGAAACAGCGGTAGAACAATTTATTGGTCGTTAAAATACAGTGACATATGCTAGTGAATAAATTGACGACAAAAAAATAACGGTACTCGGTGGGTAACGGCGGCAAGATCAAAGAATACTTTGCATCCTAGCGGTATTCCTTATTAAATAGAAATGTTTATTGCCCTATCGCATAAAACTATAGCATATGGTCTTAATATTACATGGAGCACTAATTAGACCATAATGAGCTGTTCAGACAATCACCAACAATAATTTCTAAGGAAAACCTATTAATCATAGCAAATAGATATTTGTAGTCCGGTGTGCAAGTCAATCGCGAGAAAAAAGAAAATAACAAAACACATAAAACATTAAATTTTTTGGATGTCGCTTTATGGTTTTGAAAATTAACGTTGTCACGAACGCATGACCTTTTAATAATATGTTTTTTTATGTGTGTTGTTACCCTGAAAAATATTACAAAAAGGAATAAAAAAAATATAAAAGATTGAAATGAAGACCTAAAATATAATTTTGTAAATGATCTTAAAATCTCATATAATTTATAAAAATAACCGATATCACAGTTGGAAGTCTGTAGTGGGTTTTATTTCAGTAAACCGAAATAACTGTTAGATAAAGGTTTATAATGGTAATCGTTTTTTGATTATTTCAAAAATGGCATAGTCGATGGCATTGGATTTAAAGTTTTGCTTTGTTTTGTAGGATACTAATCGGTTGTAATATAAATAAAAGGTCGTCTCAGTTTCGATACAGTAAAGCAAATGGAATGTAATCTTTCGAAACAAACATTTAATCCTTTAGCCCCCCCTTAACAATAATGTAAATTGCGTAAATGATTTATATTTCGAGGTATTCGAAATTCCACTGAAAAATAGAATCGAATGTAAAATATCAAAACATATTAACGGAACATTCCAATCGATTGTATTGTAATAATTTGTAAAAGAGACATCTTGAGGTAGTGTTAAAACGTAAGAGCCAACTGTTACACATAGTGTCACCATCATGTAACGTAATAGATAACGTGTGATATATGAATAAACGTTAGACGTAACGTAATTGATATTAATTACACTCAGCAACGTGATAATCCCTTAATCTAATTAACCAATTTGTTGACATCCCACCCGATCATACCTAAACCTAAGGAGTCGTGAGTTGTTTCATACAATAAGGACAACACATACGTCCCACTGTTTTGCTCTGAATGGGATAAAGAAGACGGTCATACGCGATACATTGTGCTATGAAGGAAAGTTTGCCCGAGCAGCGGCGCTACGGCCTACTCTTATATCGGATTCCAACTGCCAAGGGATATTTTACATACACACCAGTGTGTACAAGCGACCTCGCTATTTCGTACCGTCCGAACGACTATACGTTGTCCCTTGCCTATGTCCTGCACCACTGACAAGGGGGGGGGGGGGGCCTAGCCGGAAAATCCAAATGAACATGGGACCTCCGGGCTAGCGAGCCATAGTCTTACTCACTGAGCCACCGTGATTCCCACTTGAATATATCAATATGGATAACGACATAAAATAAACGTTTGTAAATGACTTTCTTCATGTAAAATATGCTTATAGTTTCTTTCCGACATTACCTAATGTCGAGATGCCCTTTCGTTTATTTATAGGCGGAAGTTACATATATAACGATCGCTCTTCAGATAATAATATTTTATCATGTACGTAAAATTTTCACATATTTACGCCTATAAATATTACATCCATTCGTAAAAAACAAACAAATTTACCATTAAATTTATTCGTCTCCTCGTGGCCCATTTTCCATAAAATGTACACTGTTATCCAGGAAAGCGACACAAGGCTCTTCATTTAAATGTAGATGCTTAAACTTAATTAAATTGATAAATCATAATATGCTAGTTTTATTACTAGGAATAGTAGTGTGACCAGATAAAAGCCACCCATGACAGATTTTATAAAAAGGGGAGGACATTTATGGCTGAACGATATAATTTTCTTTGACGATATAATTTTCTTTGACAATATCATTTTCTTAGACAATATCATTTTCTTAGACAATATCAAAATTACAGCGGAACAGTCACTGGCTTCTCAATCAATAGATACATGTATATTTTATATAGCCGCTATTAGACTGGCCTCTAGTCAACGGAAAATGGAATCTCTGGCAGGATTCTTCACATTAAGTGGCATAGCAAACGAGTCACTTATTGGCGTTATCTACCATTTCAAGCCAGTCAATAATACAAAAGCGCCCAACGGAATAATTGTGACCAGCTCTCGACGGTGAAACCCGCTACATCGCAAAAGGCACTGTTTGTTGCCGTAGTATGATAAAAAAAAAGGGGGGGAAACGAAACATTAATAATATAGGCATATCTAAGGAATCTATACAGTCGAAATAAAGTAATGGAACATATAATAACGAAACGAAGAATTGATTATATAGTATAAATGGGAATGCACACGTATTCGTGTACACTAAATTATAATATGGATTATGTAAATGATTATTATTATATTCTTTAATCAAATACATCTTTGTTACTAATACAGGCTATTGAATATAAATATAACAACATTATGAGAGAAGAAAACATGATCAATAATTACACACGATATCAATAACAGATGATACAATGGGGGGATAACTCGCAAGTATCGAATTGAAAGTAATGCTTTTGTTGGCATACACACCTTTCTCATAAAGGTTGTTCCATAAAAATATTGTTAACATCTGAATTTAAAGTTCATACATAATACAGATGACAATGCTAATTTACACTTTTACCAAACGTGTATTCCATCTAGTGGATCCCAAATCCAAATTATCAACTCCTGTAGTTGTTAGCCGATGTGCATAGTACATAGTTCTTTTCTTATAGACACTATTGTACCTCAGTGGGTGAGGTAATGGTCCGTATTCGATCCCGGTGTTCATTCGAATTTTCCAACGTGGTTCCCATTTGTCAATGGCACAAAACGAGGGCCTGGCAGAGGACATCGTCTAGTCGTTCGGGTGGGAAGAAACACCTTCGGCGTGCACGTAAAATAACCATTAACAGTTGAAATTCAGTTGCTGTCCATGCAAACTTTTCCCCATAGCACACTGCATATGCCCGTCTTTATTAGCCTTGTTTAAACAGAAAAGCAGGACGCTAAACCCCATTCATTAATTCTATTTTTATTTGAAACATTCGAAGACTAAATAGTAATACGTCTCTAATACCTGCTTCTGAAATCGAGAATAATTGTCATGATTTTAGAGGACTTTTCATTATATGTATCAATTCTTTTGGGATACATAGCTTCCAGAGATAATATAGTGTATTTTGACGTTTCTGTTGAAATCAGCTCGTGGGACGGAGGGGAAGTTGGTAGCTCTCTCACACGCACATTACTCTAACCCAAAAACAATTATAAAATTTCAGAACAGGCACAATAAAAAGTCTTATAAAAAAAGGACATTAGTTCAAAAGTACACATTACATTTTATTGATTTCACTCCGCCAATGTGATCTTAGAATGCCAGTCATAGAATGCTGAATAAATTATAAATATATACATCCAGCCTAAGATGGTACCGATACTCACTTTAAATACCTATAAGAAACTTTTCAATCAGTGTTTTGTTAAATTCAAAAACATTTTTTGGCCTTCTGGTGCATTGCGGCTGTGCCCCTTGCTTGGCAAATACATGTTATACAGGGATAGTCCTGTGTTAGTTTTATTATGTTATACAAGGATGTTTCTCTATTTAGAAGCTTAATATAGGGGCGATTTAAATAATCAGTCTTTTATTCTGGAACTAAATAACACCTGGCCAGGTTTCCTATAAAGTTAATAACTGAAGAACTGGATGTTTTTTGGTTTTATATTATAGCTCTTAGTTGTTTAGTTCCCAAATCTACAGAACAAGTTACTAACTTATAAACAAGACTACCACATAAAGTGGTTAATCTTCACCCGCTTAAACAATTAGAATTATATTATTCTTTAGGCGGTAGTTACATGTATAATGGGGGGTATATGATGCTAACATATGCAAATTTCAATAACACGATTTCAGATGAAAATGTATACAAACATTCCACCTGCGCATTACATAAAATACGCCTAGCCCGAAGTACGGCCCACATAGACGCATATCGTTCGATATCTTTTTTCGTGACCTCAGATTTTCTTTTACATTTATTTTGCTATAAGCCGTATTTAATTTG